ACGTATGTGTTGTTGGACCTGATGTTTTTCTATTACTGTCAGCAACCGAATGTGAACATCGTGGAATTTATAGGTCAGTGCATTGCTGGTGTAGCTGTATGCTGTAGTTGGCTGGCTATCCATAGTCATAGCAGGCGTGAGTCAAAAACAAGCTCACTTACAAGCACTGGAAGATTGGCGCAAGAGAAAGCGCTTTGTGACAACGGTTGAATCTACTGCACCATGAGCTGGAGTTGTTCTACCGTGGTTCACATCCATGTTATCTCCGCCAAGCCCATTCGCATCGCAAGCTAATACGAGACACGCACGATCAGTTGAAAGGTTTGTCATTTTGTCCAGTCGCACCTCAATGTGATTTTTCATTCGTCTGGAGAAAGCCGCAAGCTTTCACTCAAAAAAAACAGCGGAGATGCCCGGACAAGATCTAGATTCAACTTGCATAGTATATAGACAGGGTTTTCTGGCCATGTGTCGACGGACAAACTGCGATATTCCGTTTTTCTGCATCTTGTTGATCAAAGAATGCCAAATTTACGATCCAGTGCCTTTTGAAAATAACGTGACAACACCGTTAGAACATTGAGAACACGCCACGCCTGCCTTCCTTGTTGGAACGTATTCGTACTATATTTTTTCAATATTACCCTGACATACGCGGTCAGATGTGTGGACAACCATCATTGTCACGTTATGTGAATCCGTGCCACTCAATACATGTCTGAAAGAATTGCGCGAGTTGACCGGGTTTGAGGTCAATTCTGCAAATACTCTTTCAATTCCACACACGTCTGCAGTATTACGTCATATATTTGCTTTCATCGACATGTATGGAAAGTATCGCAGCTACAACCGACACATGACTAGCGTCCAGGCCGTCTTCCGAGCAGCTTTATACAAGCACTGAAGCCTTTTGTAAAGATCGCGACTGTCACCACTTGACTCAGCGACTTTTGATTCTCGTGCGAGTGATTCGAATTGGTAGTTTGAGTTCCACTGTCTCGCATTTGTTCCAAAGCGTTGAAACGTACGAATGACATCTGAAAGCTCTCTGCTCGATTCTGCTCCAGCACCTGACAGCCTCCTTGTATCCTTGCGCTACAATGATCATTCCTCATTTTACTCTTTGGCAATAACATTGACCTACTTTTTCCATCGACGATGTTCTCGAAAAACTTGATCTTAGCCGGCATTCTTGCCGCAAGCCTTGCGTCCGCCAATACCCTGCTCTCCACGCAGCAGGAGGATACTATCTACTCGTTGCCGGAATCTGTCGAAATCACCAACACTCGTAGCTTGAGAGACATACCGGAACCGACCGAAATGGATGATGCTACGACCTGGACATCTCCGACGCACGAGACAAATCCTTCCGCTGCGTCGACACGAACTTACCGTATGAAGCCTTACGAAGGTATCGCTGGGTCACCGAAGTACGCTTCACAGTGCAACCACATCGGTCAAGAAGGAGGTGCTGAAGCTGCACATGGGTCTCAGTTGCTGAATCTCGATGTGATCGTGTCCCTAGGGGTTGACAGTATCCAAGCGTGTTGCAACGCGTGCGCCCGCACCAAGCTCTGCATTGCATTCACCTTCCGACCACTCTTGTGCGTGTTGGCACGTTTGAAGGACGACAAAGTGGCGGGTCAGCCTGGCTTGAATGATCTTTTGAGCCTGACTAATGTGTGAACTCGTTGAACATCAAGCTTTAGTACCATCGTTCGTAGCTGAAACGTGTCCGGTACATTGCGCGTCATAACACCGATGTAATAGAGGCTTGAGCACTACTCCAATCTTGTGGTGGGGCAAAGATAATATATATATATTGCGGATGTAGACGTATGTGTTGTTGGACCTGATGTTTTTCTATTACTGTCAGCAACCGAATGTGAACATCGTGGAATTTATAGGTCAGTGCATTGCTGGTGTAGCTGTATGCTGTAGTTGGCTGGCTATCCATAGTCATAGCAGGCGTGAGTCAAAAACAAGCTCACTTACAAGCACTGGAAGATTGGCGCAAGAGAAAGCGCTTTGTGACAACGGTTGAATCTACTGCACCATGAGCTGGAGTTGTTCTACCGTGGTTCACATCCATGTTATCTCCGCCAAGCCCATTCGCATCGCAAGCTAATACGAGACACGCACGATCAGTTGAAAGGTTTGTCATTTTGTCCAGTCGCACCTCAATGTGATTTTTCATTCGTCTGGAGAAAGCCGCAAGCTTTCACTCAAAAAAAACAGCGGAGATGCCCGGACAAGATCTAGATTCAACTTGCATAGTATATAGACAGGGTTTTCTGGCCATGTGTCGACGGACAAACTGCGATATTCCGTTTTTCTGCATCTTGTTGATCAAAGAATGCCAAATTTACGATCCAGTGCCTTTTGAAAATAACGTGACAACACCGTTAGAACATTGAGAACACGCCACGCCTGCCTTCCTTGTTGGAACGTATTCGTACTATATTTTTTCAATATTACCCTGACATACGCGGTCAGATGTGTGGACAACCATCATTGTCACGTTATGTGAATCCGTGCCACTCAATACATGTCTGAAAGAATTGCGCGAGTTGACCGGGTTTGAGGTCTAATTCTGCAAATACTCTTTCAATTCCACACACGTCTGCAGTATTACCCGACTCATATATTTGCTTTCATCGACATGTATGGAAAGTATCGCAGCTACAACCGACACATGACTAGCGTCCAGGCCGTCTTCCGAGCAGCTTTATACAAGCACTGAAGCCTTTTGTAAAGATCGCGACTGTCACCACTTGACTCAGCGACTTTTGATTCTCGTGCGAGTGATTCGAATTGGTAGTTTGAGTTCCACTGTCTCGCATTTGTTCCAAAGCGTTGAAACGTACGAATGACATCTGAAAGCTCTCTGCTCGATTCTGCTCCAGCACCTGACAGCCTCCTTGTATCCTTGCGCTACAATGATCATTCCTCATTTTACTCTTTGGCAATAACATTGACCTACTTTTTCCATCGACGATGTTCTCGAAAAACTTGATCTTAGCCGGCATTCTTGCCGCAAGCCTTGCGTCCGCCAATACCCTGCTCTCCACGCAGCAGGAGGATACTATCTACTCGTTGCCGGAATCTGTCGAAATCACCAACACTCGTAGCTTGAGAGACATACCGGAACCGACCGAAATGGATGATGCTACGACCTGGACATCTCCGACGCACGAGACAAATCCTTCCGCTGCGTCGACACGAACTTACCGTATGAAGCCTTACGAAGGTATCGCTGGGTCACCGAAGTACGCTTCACAGTGCAACCACATCGGTCAAGAAGGAGGTGCTGAAGCTGCACATGGGTCTCAGTTGCTGAATCTCGATGTGATCGTGTCCCTAGGGGTTGACAGTATCCAAGCGTGTTGCAACGCGTGCGCCCGCACCAAGCTCTGCATTGCATTCACCTTCCGACCACTCTTGTGCGTGTTGGCACGTTTGAAGGACGACAAAGTGGCGGGTCAGCCTGGCTTGAATGATCTTTTGAGCCTGACTAATGTGTGAACTCGTTGAACATCAAGCTTTAGTACCATCGTTCGTAGCTGAAACGTGTCCGGTACATTGCGCGTCATAACACCGATGTAATAGAGGCTTGAGCACTACTCCAATCTTGTGGTGGGGCAAAGATAATATATATATATTGCGGATGTAGACGTATGTGTTGTTGGACCTGATGTTTTTCTATTACTGTCAGCAACCGAATGTGAACATCGTGGAATTTATAGGTCAGTGCATTGCTGGTGTAGCTGTATGCTGTAGTTGGCTGGCTATCCATAGTCATAGCAGGCGTGAGTCAAAAACAAGCTCACTTACAAGCACTGGAAGATTGGCGCAAGAGAAAGCGCTTTGTGACAACGGTTGAATCTACTGCACCATGAGCTGGAGTTGTTCTACCGTGGTTCACATCCATGTTATCTCCGCCAAGCCCATTCGCATCGCAAGCTAATACGAGACACGCACGATCAGTTGAAAGGTTTGTCATTTTGTCCAGTCGCACCTCAATGTGATTTTTCATTCGTCTGGAGAAAGCCGCAAGCTTTCACTCAAAAAAAACAGCGGAGATGCCCGGACAAGATCTAGATTCAACTTGCATAGTATATAGACAGGGTTTTCTGGCCATGTGTCGACGGACAAACTGCGATATTCCGTTTTTCTGCATCTTGTTGATCAAAGAATGCCAAATTTACGATCCAGTGCCTTTTGAAAATAACGTGACAACACCGTTAGAACATTGAGAACACGCCACGCCTGCCTTCCTTGTTGGAACGTATTCGTACTATATTTTTTCAATATTACCCTGACATACGCGGTCAGATGTGTGGACAACCATCATTGTCACGTTATGTGAATCCGTGCCACTCAATACATGTCTGAAAGAATTGCGCGAGTTGACCGGGTTTGAGGTCTAAATTCTGCAAATACTCTTTCAATTCCACACACGTCTGCAGTATTAGCCCGACTCATATATTTGCTTTCATCGACATGTATGGAAAGTATCGCAGCTACAACCGACACATGACTAGCGTCCAGGCCGTCTTTCGAGCAGCTTTATACAAGCACTGAAGCCTTTTGTAAAGATCGCGACTGTCACCACTTGACTCAGCGACTTTTGATTCTCGTGCGAGTGATTCGAATTGGTAGTTTGAGTTCCACTGTCTCGCATTTGTTCCAAAGCGTTGAAACGTACGAATGACATCTGAAAGCTCTCTGCTCGATTCTGCTCCAGCACCTGACAGCCTCCTTGTATCCTTGCGCTACAATGATCATTCCTCATTTTACTCTTTGGCAATAACATTGACCTACTTTTTCCATCGACGACGTTCTCGAAAAACTTGATCTTAGCCGGCATTCTTGCCGCAAGCCTTGCGTCCGCCAATACCCTGCTCTCCACGCAGCAGGAGGATACTATCTACTCGTTGCCGGAATCTGTCGAAATCACCAACACTCGTAGCTTGAGAGACATACCGGAACCGACCGAAATGGATGATGCTACGACCTGGACATCTCCGACGCACGAGACAAATCCTTCCGCTGCGTCGACACGAACTTACCGTATGAAGCCTTACGAAGGTATCGCTGGGTCACCGAAGTACGCTTCACAGTGCAACCACATCGGTCAAGAAGGAGGTGCTGAAGCTGCACATGGGTCTCAGTTGCTGAATCTCGATGTGATCGTGTCCCTAGGGGTTGACAGTATCCAAGCGTGTTGCAACGCGTGCGCCCGCACCAAGCTCTGCATTGCATTCACCTTCCGACCACTCTTGTGCGTGTTGGCACGTTTGAAGGACGACAAAGTGGCGGGTCAGCCTGGCTTGAATGATCTTTTGAGCCTGACTAATGTGTGAACTCGTTGAACATCAAGCTTTAGTACCATCGTTCGTAGCTGAAACGTGTCCGGTACATTGCGCGTCATAACACCGATGTAATAGAGGCTTGAGCACTACTCCAATCTTGTGGTGGGGCAAAGATAATATATATATATGCGGATGTAGACGTATGTGTTGTTGGACCTGATGTTTTTCTATTACTGTCAGCAACCGAATGTGAACATCGTGGAATTTATAGGTCAGTGCATTGCTGGTGTAGCTGTATGCTGTAGTTGGCTGGCTATCCATAGTCATAGCAGGCGTGAGTCAAAAACAAGCTCACTTACAAGCACTGGAAGATTGGCGCAAGAGAAAGCGCTTTGTGACAACGGTTGAATCTACTGCACCATGAGCTGGAGTTGTTCTACCGTGGTTCACATCCATGTTATCTCCGCCAAGCCCATTCGCATCGCAAGCTAATACGAGACACGCACGATCAGTTGAAAGGTTTGTCATTTTGTCCAGTCGCACCTCAATGTGATTTTTCATTCGTCTGGAGAAAGCCGCAAGCTTTCACTCAAAAAAAACAGCGGAGATGCCCGGACAAGATCTAGATTCAACTTGCATAGTATATAGACAGGGTTTTCTGGCCATGTGTCGACGGACAAACTGCGATATTCCGTTTTTCTGCATCTTGTTGATCAAAGAATGCCAAATTTACGATCCAGTGCCTTTTGAAAATAACGTGACAACACCGTTAGAACATTGAGAACACGCCACGCCTGCCTTCCTTGTTGGAACGTATTCGTACTATATTTTTTCAATATTACCCTGACATACGCGGTCAGATGTGTGGACAACCATCATTGTCACGTTATGTGAATCCGTGCCACTCAATACATGTCTGAAAGAATTGCGCGAGTTGACCGGGTTTGAGGTCGGTACAAACATTCGTGCAAATACTCTTTCAATTCCACACACGTCTGCAGTATTAGCCTTCCTCACGACTCATATATTTGCTTTCATCGACATGTATGGAAAGTATCGCAGCTACAACCGACACATGACTAGCGTCCAGGCCGTCTTCCGAGCAGCTTTATACAAGCACTGAAGCCTTTTGTAAAGGTCGCGACTGTCACCACTTGACTCAGCGACTTTTGATTCTCGTGCGAGTGATTCGAATTGGTAGTTTGAGTTCCACTGTCTCGCATTTGTTCCAAAGCGTTGAAACGTACGAATGACATCTGAAAGCTCTCTGCTCGATTCTGCTCCAGCACCTGACAGCCTCCTTGTATCCTTGCGCTACAATGATCATTCCTCATTTTACTCTTTGGCAATAACATTGACCTACTTTTTCCATCGACGATGTTCTCGAAAAACTTGATCTTAGCCGGCATTCTTGCCGCAAGCCTTGCGTCCGCCAATACCCTGCTCTCCACGCAGCAGGAGGATACTATCTACTCGTTGCCGGAATCTGTCGAAATCACCAACACTCGTAGCTTGAGAGACATACCGGAACCGACCGAAATGGATGATGCTACGACCTGGACATCTCCGACGCACGAGACAAATCCTTCCGCTGCGTCGACACGAACTTACCGTATGAAGCCTTACGAAGGTATCGCTGGGTCACCGAAGTACGCTTCACAGTGCAACCACATCGGTCAAGAAGGAGGTGCTGAAGCTGCACATGGGTCTCAGTTGCTGAATCTCGATGTGATCGTGTCCCTAGGGGTTGACAGTATCCAAGCGTGTTGCAACGCGTGCGCCCGCACCAAGCTCTGCATTGCATTCACCTTCCGACCACTCTTGTGCGTGTTGGCACGTTTGAAGGACGACAAAGTGGCGGGTCAGCCTGGCTTGAATGATCTTTTGAGCCTGACTAATGTGTGAACTCGTTGAACATCAAGCTTTAGTACCATCGTTCGTAGCTGAAACGTGTCCGGTACATTGCGCGTCATAACACCGATGTACTAGAGGCTTGAGCACTACTCCAATCTTGTGGTGGGGCAAAGATAATATATATATATTGCGGATGTAGACGTATGTGTTGTTGGACCTGATGTTTTTCTATTACTGTCAGCAACCGAATGTGAACATCGTGGAATTTATAGGTCAGTGCATTGCTGGTGTAGCTGTATGCTGTAGTTGGCTGGCTATCCATAGTCATAGCAGGCGTGAGTCAAAAACAAGCTCACTTACAAGCACTGGAAGATTGGCGCAAGAGAAAGCGCTTTGTGACAACGGTTGAATCTACTGCACCATGAGCTGGAGTTGTTCTACCGTGGTTCACATCCATGTTATCTCCGCCAAGCCCATTCGCATCGCAAGCTAATACGAGACACGCACGATCAGTTGAAAGGTTTGTCATTTTGTCCAGTCGCACCTCAATGTGATTTTTCATTCGTCTGGAGAAAGCCGCAAGCTTTCACTCAAAAAAAACAGCGGAGATGCCCGGACAAGATCTAGATTCAACTTGCATAGTATATAGACAGGGTTTTCTGGCCATGTGTCGACGGACAAACTGCGATATTCCGTTTTTCTGCATCTTGTTGATCAAAGAATGCCAAATTTACGATCCAGTGCCTTTTGAAAATAACGTGACAACACCGTTAGAACATTGAGAACACGCCACGCCTGCCTTCCTTGTTGGAACGTATTCGTACTATATTTTTTCAATATTACCCTGACATACGCGGTCAGATGTGTGGACAACCATCATTGTCACGTTATGTGAATCCGTGCCACTCAATACATGTCTGAAAGAATTGCGCGAGTTGACCGGGTTTGAGGTCGGTACAAACATTCGTGCAAATACTCTTTCAATTCCACACACGTCTGCAGTATTAGCTTTCACTCACGACATCATATATTTGCTTTCATCGACAAGTATGGAAAGTATCGCAGCTACAACCGACACATGACTAGCGTCCAGGCCGTCTTCCGAGCAGCTTTATACAAGCACTGAAGCCTTTTGTAAAGGTCGCGACTGTCACCACTTGACTCAGCGACTTTTGATTCTCGTGCGAGTGATTCGAATTGGTAGTTTGAGTTCCACTGTCTCGCATTTGTTCCAAAGCGTTGAAACGTACGAATGACATCTGAAAGCTCTCTGCTCGATTCTACTCCAGCACCTGACAGCCTCCTTGTATCCTTGCGCTACAATGTTCATTCCTCATTTTACTCTTTGGCAATAACATTGACCTACTTTTTCCATCGACAATGTTCTCGAAAAACTTGATCTTAGCCGGCATTCTCGCCGCAAGCCTTGCGTCCGCCAATACCCTGCTCTCCACGCAGCAGGAGGATACTATCTACTCGTTGCCGGAATCTGTCGAAATCACCAACACTCGTAGCTTGAGAGCCATACCGGAACCGACCGAAATGGATGATGCTACGACCTGGACATCTCCGACGCACGAGACAAATCCTTCCGCTGCGTCGACACGAACTTACCGTATGAAGCCTTACGAAGGTATCGCTGGGTCACCGAAGTACGCTTCACAGTGCAACCACATCGGTCAAGAAGGAGGTGCTGAAGCTGCACATGGGTCTCAGTTGCTGAATCTCGATGTGATCGTGTCCCTAGGGGTTGACAGTATCCAAGCGTGTTGCAACGCGTGCGCCCGCACCAAGCTCTGCATTGCATTCACCTTCCGACCACTCTTGTGCGTGTTGGCACGTTTGAAGGACGACAAAGTGGCGGGTCAGCCTGGCTTGAATGATCTTTTGAGCCTGACTAATGTGTGAACTCGTTGAACATCAAGCTTTAGTACCATCGTTCGTAGCTGAAACGTGTCCGGTACATTGCGCGTCATAACACCGATGTAATAGAGGCTTGAGCACTACTCCAATCTTGTGGTGGGGCAAAGATAATATATATATATATGCGGATGTAGACGTATGTGTTGTTGGACCTGATGTTTTTCTATTACTGTCAGCAACCGAATGTGAACATCGTGGAATTTATAGGTCAGTGCATTGCTGGTGTAGCTGTATGCTGTAGTTGGCTGGCTATCCATAGTCATAGCAGGCGTGAGTCAAAAACAAGCTCACTTACAAGTACTGGAAGATTGGCGCAAGAGAAAGCGCTTTGTGACAACGGTTGAATCTACTGCACCATGAGCTGGAGTTGTTCTACCGTGGTTCACATCCATGTTATTTGCCCAGTGGCACCTCGATGTGATTTTTAATTTGTGGGGGGAAGGGAGAAAGTTTAGGTTAAAAAAAAAAAGGAGGAGGGCAGGGAAAGAATTTAAAAAAAAAAGGGGGTTTTTTTTTTTTTTTTTTTTTTTTTTGGGGGGGTTTTTTTTTTGTGGTGGGGGGGGGGGGGGGTTTTTTTTTTTTTTTTTTTTTTTTTTGTGGGGGGGGGGGGGGTTTTTTGTGGTTGTGTTTTTTTGGGAAAGGGGGGGAAGACCGTGGGGGGGTGGGGGGGCCCCCCCCCCCCTCTTTTTTTTGGGGGGGGGTTTTTTTTTTTTTTTTTTTTTTTTTTTTCCCGGGGGGGGGGGGGGGGGGGGGGAAAACCTTTTTTGTCGTGTTTTGTGAATCCATGCCACTAAATACATGTCTGAAAGAATTGCGCGAGTTGACCGGTATTATTGCAGTCTGCAACCAGTAAAAACGATAAAATCTCCACGAAGCAAGTGGGTAACTCGCAACAGGTTCTTGAAGTAGATCCAAGTGTACAACATATTCCATTGGACATTTCGCAAAAGGAATTAAGACCACCTCCAACAAAGATTCCGAGTACTTTTCAGATTCACATTGGCTTATCAGTATTTCGAGACGGATATCGCTGTGGCAAGACTTTTTCTACAGCATTAAAGCGTGCCGTGTATCCTGAAAGACTGCGTATTGGAATACTTGAGCAATTAGCAGACGGAGACCCCAAGTGTATAGATGAGTATTGCAAGATGGCAGTGGCAGAGTGGTCCGATTATCCTGAGTGTCGCTACAAGGACTATATTCAGGTAAATATACGACCAGCAGCTGAAGCTTCTGGGTGCACGACTGCACGTCACCAACAGCAACAAATGGGGGGAGATGAAGAGTTTTGTCTTCAAGTAGATGGTCATAGCATTTTTACAAATGGATGGGATGAAGTCATGTTGAACGAGTGGAAAAGAATTGACAATGAGATGGCTATCTTGACAGTTTATCCTCACAACCTGCATGATTTTATCAAGGAAAATGGAGATAACAATGCACCAGACTGGATCCCACACTTGTGCAGCACGATCAAAGGCAGCAACGGTCTTGTTCGAATTGTTATGGCAAGCATCAAGTACAATTCGGAGTTTCCCCAGCTGGAAGCTCTGTGGGGAGGTGGTTTGTCCTTTAGCAAGTGTCACGCAGAACGCAATGTGCTTGTGGACTCGCATACGCCGTGGATTTGGGATGGTGAGGAGTTTTTGCGCTCGATAGATTACTGGACGCATGGTTATGACTTGTACTCCCCTAGTAAAATAGGCATGGTCTTGTATCACAACTACTCGCAGAAACCGGAGGATTTTAGAAATCTATCGATCCGTCAGCGAAGAAGCACGCACAACCGCGTCCGCCTCCTTATTGGTATGGGATTTAAGGTCTAGTGGACGCTTACGAGCTGGACAAATATAAATTTGGTTCAGCTCGCTCGTTTGAGCAGTACATGAAGTTTGCAAACCAAAGTCTTGAGGGCTGGATGAATGAGACCAATTCCTGTGGACAGCTGCATTGGGTCCCGTACTCGGATGTCACTGAGGTGGAGAAAATTGCTGGCGACGGCTGGAAAATGAAAGCTGATCTCACTTTTACGCCAGTTCAATTGGCCAACGGCTTATTTCAACAACCGTTGCACCAAGTCGCACGAGAGATGGAGGAAGAGCAGGTAGACGAGTCAATGCAATCTGTAGTAGACGCACACGTGAAGAATGGCGCTAAGTTAGGCGACGAGAAGCCGTCCGTGTTGCAAGCTCTTTATTTTAAGAACAAAGCGTCTAATATTCTGGCATGGGGATTGTTGATAATGGTGTTTGCAGCGCTCTTCGTGACGCTCTCCAATGACAACACCTCCAAGACAATTTGACGTAGATGCGTTTCAAGAGCATCTCGTCCGAGTTATGAGTAAAATGAGAAGGGGTCATGAGTTGCAATAATCCCATGTCTCACTGAAATTTATGTAAGACATGTATGGGTTCCTCTCATTTATATGACTTACTGGTTCGAGAACAATAGCACCCATTACATTTATGATTCTCAATCTGTTTCTTCATGGTTAGTCAAACCCACAGGACTTGTTCGATTAAGGTTGTTGAAGAGCATCACTTGTGGCTGTTCAAATAAAAATCATACAAAGCCATTAAGTAAAACCAGAGCCCGAGATTGTATTGTGCCCATTAAGAACGCCTTGACGCAGTTTTTCTTCCAAAGCTTTGGTACTCTCTGACAACCGCAAATTTCTTGGTCAATAAGCCGCCATCCTTGTAATTTTTCTGAGTGCACATTTGCTGACGTATTCAACACCAAGGCGCTAAAAGCCACACCCTTCTTCTCGCTGCGTTGGATATCAAGCTTTTACATTAATCATTCGCAGTGAACGCTCACTTGTGGTCTAATAGAACATTATATGCATGCATTGTATCGAAAATTGCTACGATATACTTCCAACATCTTCATAGTTCCCATTCCTGCTCATCTACCCATAACTTTACGGCTTCTGTAAGTCGTGATCAAGCCGATGCGACTAACAAAAAGATCAGACGTCCATGGTTATCTATGTGGTCAGCAAGTCAATCACAATCCAGTGGGGCAGCAAGTAGACTCGACTGAGCGGTTTATTTGACCCCAAATACGTGCGGTAACAGGCAGCATTACGGAATTGCAATGCCAAAAGTGTGATAAAGCTACTCTCTCAACTACAGCGGTCCAGTCTCGTTTACAATAAATTAGCGTCAAAAGCTCGACGTCTACTTGCTACACTCGATCACAAGTTGGTCCGTAGTGGATGAACCGCCGCATGGAAACGCTTGAAGAGCAATACTAGCCGTTCTTGTTCGTTGGAAAGGCAATAAGAAGTTCACAGGTAATCGATCTTCAAGGATCATTTTCAGCTCAACAGACACGACAGACTCAAGGCAGGGAGGGACAGCTGGCGCACGTCTATCAGTGAAGGGTTGCCTGTGACATAAGTACATACCGTCATATCTACCTAAATAAATAATTACAATTTGATCTTCAACAGAGCCCAAGGCTCTTTCATTCCAGACTACAAATCTAGTCTCATTCCCAGTCAGACACAGACGAGTTTCAATATTCAGGTGGCAACATGGCTCCTGGGTGTCAAGACTGAAAAGTCATTTGCCATCTGAAGACAAAAAGTATTCTGAGTCTACAACTTTCTCGAAACGACTATTTCCAGCTATTCACGAAAAACTGGCAAGCTGCAGTGGGTTTCAGTTGATCCAAAGGTCTTGTAACGCATGATATCTTGACATGCTGAAAGGGCTTTTCATACTCTCGGCATGAACCGATCGATCCGCTAGTCGTTTTGCTTGAAACCTGCTGATAGAAGCTCATTCTCAATTTCTTTGTTGACGACAACATCAGTCTTCACTCATAACTGTCTACCAATGTTCTCGAAAATCTTGATTCTAGTTGGCATTCTCGCCGCAAGTAATGCGTCCGCCGATGTACCGCTCTCTGTCGAGCACGGTGTCACCTACGCATTGGCAGAATCTATCGGAATCTCCAGCACTCGTAGCCTGAGAGCCATGACCGAACAGACCGCGATGAGTGTCACGGCGTCGTCCGTGTGCGACACTATGTCTGACAAAAGCGGTGGGCTTTTGAACTTGCTCGTCTTGCTGGATCTTATTCTGATTGGTGCCACGATGCTAAAGATGTCCAAGCGTGCTGCAACTCGTGCCTGGACTCCGATATTTGCATTGCGTTCAACTTCCGACTACTCGTGGACAATACCGCGCGCTTGCTGATAGGTTCTAGATCAGGTCGAACGGGAAGCCTTTTCAACATGCAGGCTGTTGTGAATATATTGTCAATAGTGATCAGGTGCGCATCCAGACGGATAGCTCAATTCAAGTCGTCTGTATTTCAACCTTGAACGACAGAGATTTTACGATGAAGTTAAACTACACAGCTACATCTTATGGGATTGACAGTTGCACAGGTTCAAAGAAGGCCGGCATGCTAAAATAAAATCTGGAGCCGAGCAGTTGGAGTGCAATCGACAAAAGGAGAGGCGAGGAGAGCTGGGCGCGGTTAAAGGAAACGCAGCAAGCAGCGCGGAGTTGGCGCGCATGAAGACATCCAATATGCAGGAGCGCCAACACTGGGCACGCTGGCATGGCGACAAATAGCGCTGACCAGGCGCGACATAGAACAGGCCACAGCTTGGAAGTGAGTACGCACTCTTAAGTCAAATACCATTCCTATTCACGCGGCTTACTTGCTGCGCTCGAAGTAGATGATGGGCTGGTCATTCTTTCGAATCAGCTAAAAATAACAGGCTTGGTACTCTGGATTGGCGTCGCGCATGAAGGAGAAACGCAAGTGCACCGGTAACAGACGGAAGGCGATTCGGAACTGCAAATCCTTGCACGCAGGAAGTAGCACCAGCCGTAGACGCATACGACGAGGCTGATGTCATTTGACGCAACCTGGGTGTCATGTAGCTGGAGAGAGTGTGGCTTTGTGGATGTTTCTACTGTCCACCCAATCAGGTAAAATTGGGGCCGAGGTATTGCGCGCGTAGTGTCCGCGCTTCAGACACTTGAAGCACTAAACACTCATTACTTTTTTTTGCCCTGACTACTCTTCTTCTCAAACTTCCCTTGCTCTTGGCGTTTACTCGCGTGGAGTGCTGTCGCTTCCTCCATGTTTGATGAATCCTTCTTGCGTACCTCTTCAGCAATAAGCTTGCTTACAAGGTCGTTGAAGCTAAATCGCGTCACAGTCATACGAAACGCTTGAGCCAAACTGTCATAAAATTCCGGGAGACTGCATAGATTGTTGCACAAACATCCTCTTCGCTTAGCGCACAGTCGGATTCTCTCATCGCTAGAATCAGTCGTCCCAGTTTTGTCACGTGTGCGCTCATGTCTGCCGCCGTATACTGGAACGACGTAAACTTCTCTTTGGGCCATAAACGACTTGCCATGTCTTACGTACGGTGAAAAGCCTCGAGCGCTTTGAATGATTCGCGCACACTGCCTGTGCTTATAACGTGCATGAGCTGAGAGACGATCAGGTCTAGCACGATCGCCGCAAGCGCCTGCTGCTCCTCACTCGTCACAACTGTCTTTAGACATAAGGTACATCTTCATCTTGAACACCCACATCGTGTAGTTTGATTCGTCGAACGGTTCCATCTTGGGCGTAGTGTCGATAGTTGGGCTTATGACCCTGTTAGATTATGAACTCGATGAAGACAACTAGAGACCGAAGCACTTGAATTAAAAAAAAAAGAAAAAGTGTTTGAATTAAAAGTGTTTTAATTCAAGTGCTTCGGTCTCTAGTTGTCTAATCAAAAGTGTTTTGATGATATGTCTTGTGTTCTCAGAGTGTGCATGCTTGCCTTAACTGCTGTCCAGTCATTCCTAAACGTCTCTTACCTTCTAGCACACATGTGTAAACCTATCATCTTGCATCTATGCATCACTTCAACTTACATCTAGTCTACCAGATAACGAACTCCATCAATT